ATTAAACAATATAAATATGCACAAAGTATTTAAAAAGTATTAATTAATATGAAATCTACAATCGCTCCGCTACCTCCATCGCCACTAAGACCGTAGCTTAACAGTTAGCGCGGTCAACAGCTGTGTTCGCTGCGGATTAAAACAATTGATTAATTCAAGTGCATCTGAATGGTGTTTCTGGACAACATCCAGGTCCACGACTTGTATCAACCAGAGCATCTAAAGTGCGACATTCATTACGAGGCTATGCTACATTCGACTTGGTCTCGTTAAATTCGCTATCGTCTTGAATATTTTATATATAACGCGTGATCAAACTATTGTATATATATACGTGCTAGTTCATTATAATATATACATTATAGCACATCGTACGTTTGAGTGTATTTTATAAAATCATAAAATAAAACATATTGATTTGATTTTTAGCATAAGTAGTGCAATATGTATCAAGAATAACAATACACTATGAATGCTAAATCAAATGAATTGTACTTCTGAAGTGATATCCAACAATAATCATCCAAAAGAAATAAAACTTTAAAAAAGACTTTATTATCTCGAAAATTTGTACATAACAGGTATATTTTTATACAAAACTTAATAACATACAATAAAAACGTTATTACAACGTTAAATATTCATAAACTTTAATAATATTGTTGCATTTTAACCTCAATTCATTATTTCAAAGATAATTAATTCTCTTTAAATCCTTAATATCCGACATCCAATAAGAAGAATATCCGACAAATTACGATCCAGGCCGGTCTAATTACTTCAAGACCTGACGATCACTTACAACCGACAGAGATAATAAGCGAGTATAAAACCAGCCAGCGCTGATGAAAATACTACATTTAATACAACCCACATCCTATCAGTACCATTAAAATCATTAACAGATGTTTTATATGAATGTAAACCAAAAAAAAATTAAAAAATTACAATATATAATAAATACTAATATATTTTAAGCTAATTTAACACAACAATAAAAGAAAAATCAATGTAATAGACCACTAAAGTACACAATACATTTTTTCCCAAATTCGCCATGCCGCATTCATCGTGCGACTGTGACAAATTCTTAAATAGTTTTATTAAAAATTTAAGTTACAAAAAACTGCACTCCTCAGGGTTCAATGACCGGCGAAACTGATGTTTTATAGCGCCCTTAGCATTAATCGACTCCCGAGATAAAATCATATTATGACCTAAAATTATGCAATTAAACCGTACTGATGACCATTCATTATATGTGTTGTAAACAATGATAGGAGCATTATATATGACTGTTTTATATACATAGTGTATAATCCAGATCACATAGGAAAAATAGTTCAATTAAAAATATACTCTATTACTTTCTTATTTATGATACAATTTTAAATACAAATATATTGTTGTGACTTAGATAAATGTACACACTGATAGAGACATTTAAAGATATTCACATTTCTTTATCAATCTTCAAGTCATATAATAATATAATAGATTGATGAAGTAATTTGAGAATTGATTTAGGGGAAAAGAATTTATATATAAACGAAATAGCAGATGTCAGAATCTCCTTTTTTTTAAAGGTATTGAATATGCTATATGGGTTGTTTTATAACTACACTAGCTTTCCGCCCGCAGCTTCGCCCGCGTAGAGTTCGGTTATATCGCGTTTCCAAGAGAACCTTTCAAAAGTCTGGAATAAAAACTATCATGTTTTTTCTCAAGGTCAACTCTATCTCTGTACCAAATTTCATTAAAATCAGTTTAATGGTTTAGGCGTGAAAGCGTAACAGACAGACGGACAGAGTTACTTTCGCATTTATAATATTAGTAGGGATTTATGTCCGTACCTACGAGTATGTTCGCGTTAGAGTTGTTTCTGTAATATCAAGGAAAAAACTATACCTATTGAACATTAATATTAAAATTAGGAATTAATTAACTATATGTTATATGTTATTTTTTGATTATCTAAATAAATACAATATGTATAATATTTCTTTAATACTCCGCGCTATCAAAGCTAGTCCCCCCAAACGTTTCCAATTATTTCATTTGATATTTTGGCTGGAAAAGGGAAGTCGTTATTGGTCATTTATCAACGTTAAACTACTCACTTCCTAAATTCATATAACTTTAATTTGACTAATATAACTATGCAATAGAAAAATATATAAAACAAAAAACGCCTCTACTATCGGTGATATATATACATATATGAATATTTTAAATAATGGGTTTATTTAGTATGATAGAAAATAAAGCCCTTTGGCTAAGATAAAATCTAGTTGGTACATTAATAAACAAATTTGTCATTAACATGCCTGACCCATTTAACGTCATAGGTCAAGTAGATGTCTTTTACAATTATGTCATATATACATATATAAATATTAGTGAACAATTGATATTGATATATTATTTTGTGCGTCATACTTATTTTTAAATATGAAAGTCTAAAAACTAAAAATACTCTTTCACGCAAATAGGAATTATTTATACAAATCGAATAAAATAAAACAAAAATATCATACAGCCCACACATAATGACAGAGGAAATATTATCTCTATATACATACTAGAAGACCCGACGAACTTCATATCGCCTTATAATCAAGAAATATCTGTTACTTTTTTTATTTATATTTTTGGAGTTTACCTATTAAAGCCATAAATCTTATTGTTTTGAAGTGCGACAGAATGATTGACATATTAGTTAGTTGTCAAATCTAATGTCAAAAAAGAAACGTTTGTATCAACAACTACTAATAAAATAAAAATTAATTAAAAAAACATTGTCCAGCGAACAAAATTGTGAATCTAAACCATTCCCAGATCCCCTTGAACACACACAAAAAATTTCATCAAAGGCGGTCTAGTCGCTTGAGAGAAGTTCAGTGACATACACACTCACAGAAGAATTATATATATAAAGATATATTCTTATATAAATGTCTATTTGTTCATTCATCAGATGTGTGATACCCACGAGTTAGCTAGCTACCTTGAACTTCGTGCCTCAAGTTCTCTTTAGACGTTATCAATTATCAATAACATATATATTTCTATAACACTTGACTATGTTTTTCTATTTAAGTTTTGATAAATATCAACTTTAACCTTTGATTAGATTGTGTCCAATTAGGAGCTAAAACAGTTAGATAAATAATAGGATCGTGTATATTGTCAACCTTTTCAATTCACTTTTAAATACTCTTGAAAACATTTGTATCTTAATTATAAAGAGTTGGTGATACTGGATTTTTCGCAATTATTTATTTTGTGACATTTAATTAAATAAGTGTAAAAGTATTTTTTATGTATTAGTCACAATTTTTAACTGAAAATTCATAGATATACACTCAACTGTAGAATAAAAACAAAACGAATGAAAAATGTATATTAGATAGGTAAATATTACTTAAGAAAAGTAAAGTCTAGTTTTACGCGACAAATAACCACGAGGCTGAAGACGTCTTCACAAACTATAATTCTATTGTAAACATAAAAATTATTTTTTTTCTTTGAGACCATCATTACACTATAATAAGATAAAATTAAGCTTTTTATTTTCAAATAGATTTTCTTAACATTTATATACAGTTAACTGCCGTAAAGATTTGTTCCGATATACTACATATTTAAATTGAAATACATTCACGAAAATCAAATAAGAAAGTTGATATTGAATAAGTGAGAATTCATGTATGTGTATTCTATTGTCTGTATGTATAATGTGGGTAGTATAATATTTTATCCGCTGACGTCACAAGCGCCCTTTTATTTTACAAGATTCGTTAAAATTATAATCCATTGTGTCATTTAATACCTGGAGGCGTCGGGAGTTGGTCGAAATATAAATTTTTGAAACTCTTAAGAACCCTTAAGCTTGTGGGACTTAGGTCCTAATTAGGTCATTTTCTTGATGAGTTTGTGGAAAATGTTGTAGTGAATTTTACTTATTTAGCAAGTTAGAAAGAGTTAAGATTTATGAGCCTTTGTTTCATTGCGAATGGGTTTTTAAGTTTAAAAGGGAAACAAGTTTAATTGGTTGTTTTATACATTATAAGGATTGTATCTTTAAATATTCTTTAACTATGTAGAGTACTTATAAGTATTAATTGGTTGATTTATTGAGATTATGAGTAGGTATATCCTAATGATAACTTTAGGAAGCAACATTATTAAGATATAGGTCTTATTTTCATCCAGTCCTATAAGGTAATTAGTATATATAAAGTAAGTATATAATACTTTACCGTAAAGCCTTATTTAAGATCGTTTGTTATCTTTTCATTAAACTTAAAATAAACTTTAAACACGTTTAGTAGCCTTTCTGAAACTGTCCATTTGAAATTAACAGCTGTCTGTTATGTTTCTTAATAAAAATATTCTAAATTAATGTTCATAATCCATTTAATTTATAAGCGAGTGTTTTCATTATTAATTTATCTCTAGGATTATTCTTGTAATCAAAATTACAATTTGAATTGTATGATATTAAAACTTCTAGTATACATGAAAAAAAAAAAACAGAAATCTATATGAAAAAAATCAATTTAAATAATTTTATAGACTCTATCGTTTAACACGTTTTATTTCTTACTAAGGTCTTCATTTGTTATAAATAAATGTTTTAAAAATTAAATCACGTAAACGAATAAGCAATGAAATATGTTAATTTTATTGAAGGAATTCATTTATTAAATGAATTGTAATCAACTTTGAATGTCAAGGATTTTTTATTACTCATTTAGGGGTGGCGTGGACACAAAATTATGGGTAAGTAGATATAATCTTTTACTAAAGGGGAAGATAGTAGGAGACCAAAACAAAAAACTTGTAGGAAACGAATCTTAAAGAAGTTGGTTGGTTTGTATTTCGTTATAATAATAATTAATGTACTGTTAATATATATTTATTTAAATTTAATATATATCAGGTGTGATATACAATTAAATATTCTACAAGATCGTGATCCTTGCACCCTTTTTTTTTCAAGGAACATCAGCAATCTCATCTTCCATATCATACAAAACGAAAGAGGATCGAATCGATTGGATTTTCGAATTTTTGACGGTCCACTTGACGTCGGCGTCACCTTCGTAATTACACGCGCCTCCGCACGGCGGCGCTAGTGGCGTATCCAATTTACCCCCACTCCCGTCGAGATCAAATTTACTCGTACGCTTCAAAAATAAGACCTTTCACGAATGAACGAGATTGATCGTGAAAGTGCTTCAATCGTAATAATGGTATGTTTAGTATTTTATATTAGGTACATACAGATTTTATGACGTATGACATATACGTTCAGAAACCGAATACCGGTATGTATATTTAGAAATAAATTATTATGTAATTATGTTTAAATAATTTTGGCTACTAAAGGACTTATGAAGTTGAATTTTTCGATATTATAATACATTTTCTTTTGATATTCATTGAGATTACGTATTATCATTCAATTTGATTATAGTAAAACATTTATATTCAAACGACAAAAAGGCAAATCCAAATCCCAGGATTAACTTCAAAGGGACACCGCAATTCAGAAAATGCGTTTTTATAGAAATACTCGCTTTGATGGCAAAGATTTTGTCAGCGAATTTAGCTTGATAGAATTTAGGTATTTAGATGATAATACGTGTTAATGTTTGTGTGTTATATATTAAATTTATAATAATATACATGTTTTAGTTAAAAAGTATTTATTAAGATAATACGAGAACAGTATGATATGACTTTGTGAGACTTACCTCGAAATCAAAGCCATAAAGTGCAAACATTATAACAAAATAATACATTGTGTAAAGGTTTATTTACTTTGTATATATATTTTTTATATATTTAGTTATGTAGATACATTTTCTCGCCTCCTCTCATCATCCCACACATGTGATGAAGAGATTTGTTACCTATTTTTATACAGTACCTTCTCTCAACTTAGATAAATCAATGATAAATTAAGTATGACATACATTTTTATAAACTTTCGCAAATTGTTATATGAGACAAGGAATTAATATTAAGTCTAATTATTACAAGTAAATACATAATATATAAAATTATTATTTACTAAACTTTTTCTTTTAAAAATTTATATCAGTAAAAGTAATCTATGTTATTTCAATGAAATAAATTCCTGAAAATCAGTTCAGTATTTATATTGTAATTAAATTACAAACATACATACAGTGGATTATAAAGAATTATTATAATCAATTATATGTATATAAAAACATGTAAATAAATAAATAATAGAATAACTTATAAACTAACAAGTATCACTAGGACGGATGAATTTAATTTCCGAACGTTTAATGAAGAACTCTGAATGCAATACATAAATAAATAGACCAACGTTTTGTATTTACAGTTCAAATTATTATTTTAATCGGAATGCTAAATGGCGGGCACTTTATATTGTGGGTAATACGTTCCTGTATTGATAGCCATAATGATCTTGTTCTGTTATACAAATGGCGTATAATGCTTTACACATTAAGCATTCTTTGCTTACTTTAATGTTGTGTTATATTTAACTTAAGCTATTCGTTTATATTAATCAATTAACACCTTAATCATATAGAAATAAAGTTGAAAATCATTTGCATGCTTCAATTTAATCCACACGAATATAATAAAATACAAAGGTAACAGTTTGAATTAACCGTTTTCCTCTATCAATTCAAACTCAATGTGTACGTATGCAAAAACTAACATACTTGTAATTGCATTTTAATCTCTATTGTAACAAGATTAAGTGCTAAACTCGCATCCAAGGCTATGGGTGTAAAAATGGCGTACTCTGTCCATCCATTTGAAGGATTTATTCCGATGGAAGGATCAACGAATAAAAAATTAAAAACCCGTATGTGACATAACGATTCTTAAACTAAATATAAAAATATAAGAACATTTCATCCGTAATATTTTATGTCTTATTTAATAAAGAAGTATCGAAATAATTACAAAACTCGGTCAGACATTATTCAGGTGTTTAAAATTACCGCCGCCATCTTGTCTAATAGAGCAATATTAATATCATAAAATTGCCAGCTCGCCTCTTAAGCGTTTCGCTTTGAATTTATTAAGCTGTTTCAAGTTTAATCTCGGTTATGAACAAAGGTGTATCAATAATTGGAATATTTAGAGTTAATTAGGCTACAACTAGGTGTAAACGGAATGCCGTTGGTGACAACGAATGTAACACTAAGTAATTTAGGTTCAAATGACAACGTCAGATTTACTTCATTTCTTTTTAAATATTCCATTTATGAATTTATTTTGAAGCCAGCAAACATAATTCATAGTTTTCTTTAATATTTATATAAGTTTACAGTGATACAAAGTTGATATCTCTATCTATACGATCTGTGTGCTTTGGATTGGAATAATTTAAAAGAATTGATATTCAGTGCAATATTGCATTTGCTTATAAAAATCAAGATAGTTCCAATAAGAAAACTAATATCGAGCGTATCCGCCCATACGCTGTAAATTTGATTGCAGATAGAACTGCCAGTGCTCTCTAAGTTCTAAGCTTTGCTTTCGAATCGAGTGTACGAGCATAACGTAGGTAGGAGCCGTGCTTAAAGTTATGTCCGTAAAGGCTTTCATATATATATCAATGTAGTCCGATGCACTTCAATCAAAGATCCGAGGCCGTTGTAGGCCGACACACTCAACATAACACGTGCATTACTCACGAAATATTTTCATAAAACCGAACCAAACGCACCCGAACGTCTTCCCCGTCCCTCTCGCCCGGCAAAACCAGTTCAGTTCGTGCCCGGCTGCCGAGCGCGTCGGTTGTTAATGGAACGTTGGACCCCATCGCTGTGTTACGAAAAAACATATTTTGTATCATAACCAAACTAGTGTCGTGGATACATTTACAGTGGCCGTGAGATAGTGTTATTTAGTATTGTGATGTTACGTGTCCCTGATGTTATAGTGTCGGATTTCTCTTAAATAGTGTGGGACGGGTTTCGCCTGCTGCCGCCGGACGCTTTTTCTCTCGGAACTCGGGATATCATTAAGGTATTTATTGTTACACCGACTCATTGTTGTAAGGAATTCTTTCCAGCCCTCATGCTGAATCTGCCGTACCGATGTGTCTCAGTTTACATGCTTGCATTTGTTGCTATGGTATTATATGTTCATTGAGATGTTTGTAGATATCGCCATGCGAGTGAGCGGTAAACACGGTAGTAGGTGCTGTCTTTGAAGCTGTTAATTAGGAGGCATGAACCCTAGCTAACGAGATAACATGCGATTTTAATTTGCATTTACTTAAAAAGAAACTTTCATTTATAAACATCGAGTATTCTAAAGTTAAAAAAAATGATATAGAAAACTTAAAGCAACATTTTTCAAACAATTCGAAAACAAATTCGAAATTCGAAAACAAATCAGTTATAAACTTTTTAGCTGTCTATGATTCTTTAAAAAAGCCTCCAATAGATGGCGTTCGTTGTTTGTAAACGTGCCCTTACAACGTATAAATCTCATTTCAAAACAAATCCTTACTGCTAATTAAACGACAAATTAACTGGGCTTAAATTAATAACTTTGCTGTTTGTGTATCAAAACAATAGCTGTCACTGTCTGAATTACAATTATATTAATATGTAATTGTCACCAACCTAAAATAACGTTGTAATATAACGAATAATATTACGAGCCTAAATTACAGAAATAATTTATATTACAATTAAAGAGGGATGAAATTTCTATTTTCACCTTTATAACAGTCCGATGGCTATTTATAGGAAAGAATATACTTAAATTACTAATTATATTAAGCTGTACTGTGTTTTTTATTTTTATACATTGACATGAACACGATTGTTGTTTGCAATAAATAATAAATCTATTAATGGTTTCGCCTTAGATAGTTCTAAACTCGAAATGTGTATTCACAGGCATTGAATTTGAATTAATTGTGTTAGTTATTGTTGAGGATGTTTGAAAGTTACGCCAGACTGCAAGTATGTCGAAACTTTTCAGCTACACAAACTATATCAGTTTTAAAAGTCTTGAGTAAATGAAACATTTATTATACGATACATAAAACATTTTTTACTTTGTATCTCAATTCTCAATACATCGGTGCAGTTTGTAATTGGAATTGGATGAAAAATAGCAATTAACTATAATTCAATTAATTCACTGTGGTACTTAACCGTCGTGCGTGTAGTGGATTTTCAAAAGCCCGAAGCGTTAATTTACCGCGTAAAAAATCTCGATTCGTCCGGAAACGTGTCCCATCGGTAGTTGTTGAACAGATGTCGACATATGTCGAGCCACTCGTGCGTCGTAGGCTAATTGACTAGGAAAAATAAAAATTGTGGTTACCTACGTCCAATGTCATTTGCGGTACGCCCCGCGGATGACGTATGGGGGCGGTTTGACATTTATTAGATTCCGTTCCAAATTTAAATGTCGTCATTTAAATATTCGTGAATGATATTTTTCATTTTGAATTTCTCAGAGTTAAGTGTGTATTCGCCGTCCCTTAGGTGGAGAGATTTATGACAACCGAATAGATATTGTAAATTAAAATCACTGGAATACTAGAGATTCTTTACTGGGTTATAGAATCCGTTCTTAAAAATTATAATAATTTGTGAGCTTTCGTAGCCTTAAAAAGTGTTTTAAATGTCAAGCCGCAAACTTTTTTTGTACACACTATTTTTAACTATTATAGAAAAAAGACAAAAAAAGAGGTCATCAATTTGACGTTACTTTTTTTGTGGATTCGACTTAGGTACACCTTAAAAAAATATCCATATAGTAAAGTATGTCATCTGTGTAACAAATGTCAGTTCAAGTTACATATAATTTGTGTAATATGATTTTACACGTTACAAATGTCAGTCATTGTCACTGATAACCTGGTCAAATGGTAATCTGGCGACGAATTGTCGTACAGGCGTCAAATGATTGTAATTGTCTCCAATTATAGTCGAACATTTTTTTTACAATGACTCAACAACTGTTGTGACGTGTCTAAACGAAAGGAGACGAAATTTAAAAATTTGAATTTCGAACATTTTTTAGTCAAGCTACTTATTTTTTTTTTTAATAGATGAACAAATATTATGACGTGTCTAAACGAAAGGAGACGAAATTTATAAATTTGAATTTCGAATACTTTAGTCGAGCTACTTTCAAACTTTTTTTTTAAATAGATTGAATAATAAATGCAATACAAGGAATTATAAGTTCTCAATTCCATATACAATCTATTTAGATACCGTCATTGGTTATGGACTCGATCTCGGTCGTAGATGTTCTTATCTCACTGACATTTAACAGTAAAAAATACTGGACCATGGCTTACCGTTAGCCGTCATACGAAACTTATGCTCAGCCAGTCTTAGTTTTAAAATTAATGATTTCACATCCAATGATAAATGCTACGAAGATTTCTTTTATGTCGTTGTAGTTATAAATGATATGGCATTTCTGAAATGTCTACCTTTACATTTTATATTCGTGTTTATGATTTGTGTTACTAATTAATGCTATTTGATATTCATTTACGTTTCGATGTTAGGTGTTATGTGGGAATATCGCATTGCATTTTTCATGACTTGGCAACTCTCTGGAGGCGTTGTTTGAACAAATAGTACGAACGAACATATGTAATGATTGTAAGATATTTTTTATTAATAATAATTACTATATATTTATATTACTTATTAATCGTACATTGCTATTGTTATGATTAGAGTAATTCCTATTTGCTTGTTTTTTTGAGTTTTCAAAAGTTTTTCTAAGAAAGATGTTTATCAGCCAAAAAAACTCGTTTTTTGTGAAACAAAATTTCATACAAACCTGTTTTTTTGAGGATCAAGCAAAAAAAAACCTACCTAAATAAATATTCGTAAATACTATATGTGAGATTGCTTAATATATTACATTATACTAAGTATATTATATATAACAAAGCCCGTATTATCACATTATCTTTTATGTTTATACATATATATATTGCCGTAATAAAACCAACTTAACCCAGATGTGATAAGAAAATATTGACCGTATCAATTGACTCTTACTAACAATAAACATTGGAAGAGCATTCCGAAACTATCTGTTCTTGAGTCATACATTAATAAAAATCACTGATAAAAACTAAAAGCGAGGAAAGCGCGTACAAATACATAACCTGGCTTAAAAAAATTAAATTAAATTGAACTCTATTCCATTGGGATAAAATATGTTTATACTGTAACAAACGTCATTGTATAGCTTTAGTAATTTCAAACCGAATGACTGCTTTCTAACTATTTATTAAACAATAGAGATTTTGAAAGAATTTTAAGTTTTTTTTTATAAGCTCGTATGTAATATAGATTACAGTGATTGTATTCGGATTTTCTAAACCCATATTTTATATATAAATTATTTTTTGTCAATGATTCATTCAATAACAATAAGGAAAATGTTTAATTTGTAATACTCAGTGTGTAATTTCATGCGTTCTTAAGAAACCGCAATTCCTTACTTCGTTCTTTAATGTATTAGATACTGTCTCGAGAAGGCTTAATTATTTACGGAAAAGACTTTACAAATACAATTTCTTAATAATTATATATAGGTATTATTGTGTAGTTTTTGTTTTGGAAAATTCTCGAAAGTCCGCGTAGATTTTTGATACCTACATATCTATTAAATACTAAAATGTTATAAATATGTTTTACAAAAGAATAACTTACTGATTAAAAATGTCAAAATATACATATTTAAATGAAATTATTTAATTTTATATAAGTTATTACAATTGTTCAAAGTAAAGGTAACTGTAAAAGTTTAATGTGGTTTTTACCTTTTGTAATCACTTATCCTAAATTAGGTTTCCTACCTTTAGGCTATCTTGAATTAGAATAAATTTGAATATGGCAACTCTTAATATATTTTTTTGTAAAATCCTTTATGACGTCACATAAATTTTTAAGAACTATACTAAGGTAACTTGTATAAATTTTCTCCACAAATAATTAAGGAAAAATGTTAGAATGTTTTCAAACGCTTATTTTATTGTATAAGACAAGTGATTTACTTATGTACAACAGCTGTCATATGTTGAGTTGAAGCAACGTTTTGTTGCTGTCTGTATTTATTTACAAAGAGGACTTCAAGTGGCTTATTTCATTCTATGTAACGTCAACAAAAAACTCATTTAAATTATATAAAAATTTGGTAATTTTTTGGTCGTTTTTTATTATTGATTACTTTACTTTGTTTTGGTTACTTTATATTTAACAGCAATACAAATAGAATAATATAAAGTCTAATCGTAGTGCAGAAAGCGCATTTTTGTGTAGCTATCAGTTGAGCATTGATTTACGTAACATAGCATTGAGTCCGCGTATCTGTCTGGAACTGATTTGGTTTTCGTTGAAACTTGCGATATATTGGGATGTCTTAAGAACAGCGTGAGGGGGGATATTACTGTGCTAGCGACAGAGTCGTTAAATTGACGTGTTTCGGCAGGCAGATCTTGGTGCAAGGTTTTACGAGATCATACTAACTTTACTATCATCCGAACTTTTGATACGTACCATTAAATTTTGCGGCTTTGATTCGTTTGATTGACGTATGAGTTATACAGAATTTAGACACTAAAAATCAAAGTTATATTATTTAAATGTATGTTGTAACGATTAAAATATTATATAATAATAAGGGAATCAGAAAGGTTAGGACCCACGGAATAGAGAGGCAATAAACATCAGGTAAAAATTGTATCCCCGCTTGGTCCCTTTTTCTGTTAGACGGGTGTATTGTATCTCTTTCACTAATTGGCTCCGAAGGACACAGATACTTTGATACGGCTCACGAAGAACACGGAAACGGTATCTGTCTGACGAAACGGCATAGAAATTCAGACGATGTAAATTAGGAATGTTTACAGAAATAATTGTACATTTTTATTGGTACGTACCAGGACGAGGCGCTTTAAACGCAATCAAGTCCTTATTCTGACTTAAATTGAGACATTGAATGTTTCCCATTTCCTTTTCTCCGATTCTAAAGCAATAGTAAAAGTAAAAAGGATCTGATACCACCAACGCAGAGGCAATATACGGGCTCGTTGGAGGAGAGTTCGCTTTAATGTTTTCATGAGTCTCGAAAACTAAAGAGCGTGTAACAACGTATCTATTCGTCCCTTTTAATAGCAGAAGAGCGAACAAACTGCCAAGTATTAAGTTTTATCAAGCATCTGCACGAATGTCACGTCTTTATTACTACTTATTCTTTGTCCTCATGAATGCATCGGCCGTGTAAGGGATGGCTATATAACACTGTCCCTCTCTTAACTTGTATTTCTTTACCGCGCTTGAATAGGCGGCGGATCGTGCGTCTCTCTCGGGCATACATAGGTGTTCGATTTAATAAAAAATGGCGTACCTGAACCGGTCCCCTGACATGTTTGTACATTTTTCTTACTCTGTAGGGATTTTTTTTTTGTGACGAATTTTTCAATAGATCCAGAAATGCGGGGACTGTTAATATGTTGACTTAACAGTCGCTAATAGTTATACGATTTGGGATACTTTAAAATATACCACATTTTAATCTGGATTATAAAAAGTAACAATGGTGATAAATGCCTTTTTTATTTGAAATCCATTTGAAACAGATTATTTACATATAGAAGATTTTTCGTTCATGAACTTATGACGTCACGCAATAGTCTGCCTTCGTATCGAATTAAAAATATTTCAAAATAGAACCGCTAGTTTTAGATACAATTTCCTAAATTTATATCGTACAATTCAAGAACACGGTTTCTAAAGTCTTACATAAATAAAATAGACGCGTCCGAAATAACAATAGAATCGAAACCGAATGGTATCGAGCGTTTGACATGCAAGCGCAATCAAAAAAAAAACATGGCGACGCCTAGTCACAGCTGATTCAGCATCACCTTACGAAGTACCATTCGGCTTTGTCTATGTAACTTTACTAAGCGATTTGATTGTTACCGCAACCTTTGAATCTGAAGCTGAATTTTAGTTTGTAAATTATTAGATATATAGCATTTCAATATTAAAATTATAGTAACAGAAATAATTACTCAACTTTTCGTCTTAAAATTCAACGCCTTCACTATTGTTATAATTTCATTCTGACGTTATAAATACTAAGTACGCCCATATTGCGAAATGTGCATTTCAAGGAGGTGCTATTCATCATTTAACGGATGTAGATAATATATTATAGAAAATAAAATGTTGCAATACAAATGTAACAGATTATGCAACATTAAGCATCCAGATTGTCGACTATTTAAAATAAAATAAGAATAGTTAATGTGAATTTACGAATGGAGAACCTATTTATATTTATACATTAAATAGGACAGAGCTTAGCCTAAATACCTATTCTTAATCCGGGAATTTCTAGCTTGGTTTCCGACCTGCTTCTACAAGTGATCATTGAATTCGATGTCTCATCGAGATAGAATATAGCCTCGCTAAAGAAAATACTTTCCGTTGCAGAATTTAAACTTGCAAAGACATGACCCTGTTTAATATGCACAAGACTAGTGTTCTTTAATTATTTATATGCAAATACGTCTTGTGTGGTCTTGACTTAACTTTAATGTTGGAAAAAACTTGAAAAATAAATTGTCACTGGCAGGAAAAAAAAGCTTACGTGTTTTAAATTATAGAGAATATGCTCCAACATAAATAATTGCTGTTATATGAACTTTGTATTGTTTGATTGTATACAAAACTAGAAATATGTTGCTTTTAAATCATATTTATTCAAACTATATTCACATTATAATAAACAAAGATTGTAAATGTTTGTTCTTATATACGTTAACATTTTATTCTTGTATTTGATATTATTTCGAATGCTAAAAAGGTTAAAGTCTACCTGCAAAGGGTTCTCCTAGATAAGGCATTGTTTTAGGCAGCTGCTTTGTTCTCTTATCAGTTTTTGAATCCTCGGTTTTACGAAAAAAATTCTAACCGTATATTTTTGCGGTGTAACGTTTGTTGCTAGTTTTTATATTTTTTGAAACCAACAATTTCGTATTTAAATGCTATTTCTGTTCTTATTAAGACATATTATAGAAAATGTCAAAGACAATATTTTTATTGCAGGAAACACATTGTTGGTGCTACTTAGAGCATAACCCATGACGAATAACTCTATATTAGGTTACAAAGTTAAAAGGTATTCAATGCCCAGTGAGCATTAAGACATTGTTGAAATTCTAGGCAATTAGAACTTTCCCATGGTATAGAATCAATTTGACGTGTGGAGCTTAATTAATAGATCCCTCTGGGAAACAAGTGTATCCTATATAAATAAGCTATAACAATACATAAATTATTGCTTGTAAATATCAGCTGTATGTTTGAACATCTACACTTTAACAACGCACGTGTTGTAACTCAGATTTTTATCGGAAGACAAACGTTCACAAAAACTTCAGCCTATCAGCATTTATTACGAACGCAGTAAGGATTGAAATCGCGTGCTATGTTTTAACATGTATGTTATTATTAAAACGTTTACTGTTTATTTTCTAATGTATACCGAATTGACTTATAAAAAACTTTGTTTAACATTGTAATCAATTTATATAACATTTCTATTTACTGATTTTGATATCAAACATTTTCACTACTACCGTTGTCTTTTATTTAAGTATTACGAGTGTTATGATCCATTTGATAAAACTACACCTCGCCTCTTGTCCCGTGCTAGTTCATATTTATAAAAGTATTTATGGTATTTACAGCGCAATTTATACCCGGTATTGGGTAAGTCGGAGACGACTACCATAGAAGCTTTAGGAATTCTTACAAAAGATGTTCCATCCTTCACCATCGAACTGGTTCACGGTATGTGGGAACGGGACGGAGGACGTGATGGTAATTTACACGGACTAAATAGGCGCCATAAATCTTTTATAGTCGGTATGAAACATGCGCAGGCGCACGCATAGAGATCTCCCGACCTGATAGAAGGTGTAACTTTGTGTTGCTATTTTCGGATAAAAATACGTCATGTAACATGCCCTTTATAAATTACAGGCTTCTTAAAAGATTCTGTTTCTAGATTATAATAAACTTACATTTTGTTACATGTACCTACTTTTAATGTCCAACATTTGCTAAGTACAGGTAGTTTTATCTTGATCTATTTTATATTTTCTAAATTCCACACTTTAGTCTATCTATACCTATCTCTCTGTAGCTATCACGTATATTATATGCAAACATAAACACAATATATCGATACAAATGAAATGTGCGGTTTCATGAAACAATATGAAGCCTTTCCGTTGGTCTGAGTGTAACAACATTCCGACCACATCCATGACCGCATACAGACTGACAACTTGAATCTTGAATAACATATTCTTAAAGCTGCTGTCAAAAAGATTTTTAGCCATCCATTCAACATATGATATAACCTTTTTTTTGGCAAAGATTTAATCTTTTTGGGCATGGTTTTTTTATTATCTTTTACACTTGAAATATCTTAAAATAAAATAAAATTGAAACGCAGTAACTGCTATAAATTTGGGCTGTTCAAATGTTGTTAATTTTTGAAGTAAATCTTAAAAAGACGAATGTTTACGAATATATAGTATTATCATAGCGTCATAAGGCTTTATGCAAAAACACAATAAAACTATTAAAATATTACACAATAGAAGTCCAATATTAAAAATCCTTTTCCAGCTTCCATTTTACTCAACAACTTAAATACCTATCTGAACTATTGTCTGTGGATCTTAATCCTGCATTAAATGAAATTCTCAAATAAAATGGATCTATGCACTGATTGTCTTTCCTGGATAAGGATTTTTCAATAGAAAATTTTTCTTTTTATAAATTCTCTTAATTATAACACTTCATTTATATTGCAATTATGAGAATTTAAATATAAGTGTTACAAAATTATGTATCAAATGTATTCTTGTGGTTAAGATAAGAATTTTGTATACGTTCTGAAAGTTTTAATATGTTAATTGTGGTTTTTAGGTTATTCACGAATATTAATATTTTACCTGGAAATGGTTCTGTATAAAATTTAATATATTTTTTTAATTCAGTATTTATTTTATTTTGTGTCGTCTTAAAGCTTCCAAATGACTCATTACAAATCATGGGAAACTTTAAAAAATTTAAAATAACATATACATACAAATATGTAACCAAAAACCATATTGAACAGTCATTGCTATAACTGTTTATGGAATAAAAGTATAAAATTTAATTAATAACATTTTTAATGAATGCGATTGTTCATTGAGAATTCACGGCTCGCTACAACTTTGTAGACTGACATCAAAAAGAAATCAAAGAACGAGTCCATAGCATTTCACTGTTTCGCATCATTAATTTGACACTCGGCATGTCACGACAAAGTGAGCCGGCCACAAAACAACGGGTCAAAGGTTGACCTCCGGACGATGCATTGAGAGACTCTTAATGGACGCATAATGAGGTAATGCCCAAAGAAATCATTAACCTAAATGTTATACTTTCGAATCTATTACTTATTTTATAATCAACAGCTGCTTCGTTATATCTAAATTGTATCGTTGATTTGAATAGATATACGAGTATTCTGACTGCCAATGATATATTCGTATAGATAATACGAGCATAATATACGATATTTACGTGGAGATTATGATGTTAATTAAAAATCAATACACGTGGTACACAGCGTTCGGGAACGTTAATTATTTTTATGTAGCATAGCAAGTTTTACGAGATTCCTTTATTTCTTGATACCCCAGCGGTTTTATATCGCCACGCCAGCATCGTCTTTATGACCATTTCCATTTAATCGTGTAGTTATCGATATTTTCATGTTATTTACCCAAAAATCCTGATTTTCTCGTACATTAAACATATCTTTCCTTTCTCTACTCAATATAATATTACTCTTTTCGTGTTTGATTTCGTTTCCCAATGTTTCAACAGTATCTAATGTTAAAAATCTTTTTATATCACATTTGAAATGTAATTTCAAGCACTTTAAATTAATTCTATAAATTATGTACATAAGTTTAAATTAATATTCTTATGATGTGATAGCCTCAAATTACTTTTGATTCATAAAGGTCACATATTATAATCATATTATTTGAATCAAAGTCTTAATTGAATCATACTATTTCTCAAAAGTATATATGAAATGATTTAAATTTAATTTAATGATATGCTCATTTATATTAACATGGTGCTTTGATAAATGTCAAAACTTTATTTAACTTTTACGTACATATTTTATGACATAAGACATGTGATTGTATGTATATTCACAGGTATGATAATAATTGGAAGCACCTTAAATTTTTATTATACGATAAAATTTTATTTCTCATATATTTCATTGTTTGCTTTGAGATGTCCTAAAGTATGACTTAGTATTATAAAAGTTATACCTCATTTATTATTTATTTTAATAAATTTCTTCGGTTTTCCAATACCGTTGATATAGATAATCAAATTTTATTAGATCTAAAATAATTTTGTCTCAGACACCGTTCAATCGATAGGCAGGATTTGGAATAAGCGAGGGATTTATAAGCTTCTACGTAAATCACCAGATCATTTCGAGACCCGAGCGATTCCGATTATGTAAACTTGGGGCCTGTATCCTAAAATGTACAAGAAAAAAACTAGTAGGTGTTAAGGGTGGGGCGGGGATATGCGTCCTGAATGCCTAAACCTACGAAACTAAAGAGAATCACTCCAAGAGACTTGGGAAGTCGATCAAAGTGGGATTTGCGCTGAGACCCGTTGCGACCCAACCGGGAGGGTTACTTAAGTCTTTCAAATTGAAATTTCGTTTTTGTTTATTTTGAACGTCAGGTGGACTTTCAATGATGGCCTATCAGACACAGCTTTTATGGGCATAGAAAGGGAACACTATGCAAATGTAATTAATGCTCTGCTAAGCTAACATTTTTGCAACAAATTCATTTATAAATATGACGAGTGGCAGCCCTGGTAGTTGCTGCTACAGCTGCAAAATTCAGTTCCCAACCCTAATAGGAGCCGTTGATATTTCCCTGTACCGAGTCCGTTCAGAGCGGGACTGGTCCACATTTGCATAACTATTTTATCTGTATCTTGTTATTCGTTGGGCAGCAAGTTGATCTTGATAATTAATGATTTATACGCCTGTCCTTAGGGAATCTGAACAGCAATGACGTCCTTACGGTAAAAAAAATTGTATATATCTGTTATGACTTATTTTAAGATTGTCAAGTTCAAATATTAACTTGCTTTACATGTTTTTATTTTTTTTTTGGTTTCTCTGATCGTTTTAGATCGTCCTTTTTCAAACTCCAACGATACTGGCACTTAATGTCTGTCGACGGGATGTTTTTTAAACAATATTCTTCATATATTATGTTAACTAGACGACCATGTGTACGCTGTTTATATTTCTATTATCGATGAATTCTCTATACATTGACATAAAGGCGATATTCGTTCAACAGCTGCAATCGGGTCAAACAGCACGCCATGGATATTGTGCAGTTGGTTAACAGCATTCTATTCCATAATAGCATCTATCACTTTAAATTAAGGATCACATTTAATTGCATCTATTTTAATTGTTCGGTAAACCGGGAAATAGACATCGTTCTTTGTTTGCTCTGAGCAGATGAGAAACAGCCGAAGAAAACAGTTCGGGTGTTAACGTTTACAAACAACAATTTTTCGTTCGTTAATCCATCATCAGTTAAACTGTTTATATTGACTAAACATTATGTCTTATGTTAGTTCATTTGAAGCGGATTTTTACGTCTGCTTCTGTGGTCTTAAGAAACGATTCGTTTAATTTATGTTATAGTAATTTTAGTATAATAGCCAATAACAATTTTAATTTAACATGTAATTTTGGATATGTTTGAAAGGTTATAAGATTAATAATACATATTTCTATATTTTTAGTAAGTTCAACGTTTAAAGCAAAAATACCTTTTAAAATATGTTGTAGGAATACATAAATCTAAAACAGTACGTATTAATATAAAGGTTACTCAGAAATTATAAATAAATGTCATAAAATACCACTTTAATAAAACTCCATTCAGTGGAGTACATTACTTTTTCACGGCGTTTCCCAACTTTTTGGACAAAAAGCCAGTGAAAAGGACCACTTGAAAAAAGTATGAAATAACGCGGTATCCTACCGGAAGTCTGATGGCGGAAGTCACTAGCTTTCCGGATGTACTAGAGGGCCCTTGGGAGGTCAAAATTGTATTTAATCGTACGCAACCTCAGCAAAGAAAGTGTATCGAAACAGCCTCATGGGAATTATTTATCATTAAGGGCCTACATTTTTTGGTTTCGGCTGTAATTACGAAATATAATGGACTTTTAATTCCATAATTTAACTCAAAATTGTTAGCGTTAATTCTATCTGTATTTTATATTTAGGTGTATCACTAAATATAAACTTACACGGGAGCGGTCCGGTTGGATATTTTGAAGTTCAAAAGTAAACTACCCCACGTTCACCCTTTTTATTTGCTTAATTAAACTCAACATATTCGGATAACCGGTGCTCATTGTCACTGAATAAATTGGACTGCTCTGTTAATTTTTGGGGTTGTTACACAAACAAAATAGACGACCTTGTGGCTTGGTTACTACCGTTTTGTGAAAGCCTATCCTTTAAAACGGCAAAGGCCACTGTGAAGAACTTATTTCCCTAAAGGGCAAGTAGAATTATGCTTGGTACTTAGGAATATTAAGCTTAGTATATATGTACATAGGTTGGAGCAAAAAATACAACTCAGCGCTACAGTTGTGGAGTTTGAATGAAAATTTTGCGGGTTTCGAAATAGTTGTACGGGAAATGATAGTACTTTTTGTATTATGTTTGTAACTAGTTCCCCTGGCTTGTGCTGTTCTGTGGAAATTTTAGTGTTATAACTAAGTGATATAAATTTCGTTCTCTTGCAAT